TCTTGACGCCCAAGTTGGAACAGGATGATTCCGATTCTTATGAATATGACTATGAGTATTCTTCCACTGGTTTCATGGCCGTGCGTTTTGATTCCAACGTTGATTTGACAGTCCATCCTGATGAGAGGAGGACTATGAGCAAGAAACACAGGAAGATGGTGTTGGAAGGTATCAACAATCTCAACAACCATGATCGTGTGATGCAATCCAGTCTTGGGATGCAGCCTCAAGTTTCCAATGGTACTTCAGGGGTTGCAGTCATCACGTCGCATCCGACTCTTTTCCAGGATTTTTTCGAGCACACCTATGACGTTGGCATGAATGCTGCGTACTTGGACGGTGATGCTGAGCAACACGGTTGGAAAGACATGTTCGAAGGTTGCACATTGGTCATTGTTGCAATTGAATACAAGTCAGAACATTATCCACTGTGTCATGGGGATCTTGTATTTGAGTTGGAACAGTATTGTGATGCCACAGGGTGTAGGTTTCTCATTGTTGATGTCGCACACACTGAACGATGGGAATCATTCAAAACACCACAGATACCATACATCAATGAAGTTGGTCTTGCTTTTGTGTCAAATGATGATGAACTCATTCAAGGTTTTCAAGATTGGTCTATGTATCGACAATTGGATGACGTTTTGAATTGGGAGTTTTGTCAATGGATTCGTGATTGGTCACTTGAACGTGAATTGGAGGAGCAGATGAGCGTTGCCTTTCCAGCAGAGATCATCGAAGAGGCTCAGGAACATGGTGGGAACTGGGATGCAGTCGATGGCCCAGAAGATGTTGCATTGCAGGATCCGGTTGAGGACCTGACACATGAAGAGACTCTTTTGGATGAAGTTGATATCCCTGGTTTGCCAGAGGATGAAACAGAAAGACGTAGGTCTTGGCGTAAACTTCCCCAGCGTGTCAGGATTGCTGTGCGTAGGTTGCACAGGGCTTTTGGACATGTCCCCAAGTCGGTGATGGTCAATTTGGTGCGTGCTGCAAAGGTGAGTAAGGAGTTTGTTGATGCAGTGAAATTGCATAGATGTGAAACATGTCAGAAAACATCAGCCAAGAAACCCACTCACAAGGTCACGCTTCCCAGTGATTACACATTTAACCATACTTTGGGGATTGATGTATTGGAGTTGACAGATGTAACTGGACAGAAGTATCAAGTTCTCAACATGGTTTGCATTGGTACTTGTTTTCAACAGGCTGAGGTTGTGAAGGTTGGAGCAGGTCAAGCTTCTTCGCGATCCTGTTTGGACGCACTCATTAAACGTTGGTTCAGTTGGGCAGGACATCCTGTTGCTATCATGTGTGACCGTGGTTTGCACAATCGTGGTGTCTTACAACAATACATGGATGAACATAACATTCAAGTGCACCATGTGCCCCTTGAGAGCCCGGAATCATTGGGCCGAGTAGAGAGGCATGGTGGTTTGTTGAAAGCTCTTTTCAGGCGAGTGTGTACAGAAGCTGGGGCTTGTACCAAAGAACAGGTTGAGTCGTGCATCACACAGGTGCTCAGTGTGAAGAACGACTCCGCGCGTGTTGGAGGATTTTCTCCATCTCAGTGGGTGCTCGGTCGAGCTCCCCGTGGTGTAGCTTCACTCATGTCAGAGGAAGACCATGCACAACTCGGAGCCATCCAGGCCCGACATGACCCTTCATCAATTTTTGCATTACAACATTTGGCCAGGATTGAGGCACAAAAGGCTTTTGTTCATCTTGATTGTTCAAGAAGAGTTCAACGAGCGTTGACACGCAATGCCAGTGTGTTTGATCGTGAATTCAACATTGGTGACCTCGTCACTTTCAGACGAGACAATCAGCGAGGAGGAACGTCCTGGTCACCAACATGTCGTGTGATCGGACACGAGAACCAGAAGAACATATGGTTACTGTGTGGTAACGTTCCAGTACTTGTAGCTTCTCACAACATACGCATTGCTTCTCCTTCTGAAGCTCTTGCTCAATCAGTGTTGAATGGTGAACCTGTGATTCCATACAAGATCATCAATGATACAGGTCAACAAGCGTTTCTTGATGCAAGACAATCAGATGAGGTTGAAGTTGTTCGTGATGGTCCAGGACAAGCAGATGATGTTGAGGTTGTCCATGAAGGCAATGTGGATTCAGCACTCCCTCCTATACCAGAAGTATCTGAAGATGAATGGGATATACGGCCCGGTTTCTTTGAAGAAGATGAGGAGGAGGAAGATACAGGTCCAATGGAAGAAGACATCTTTTCACAGAGTAGAACCCCAGAAAGAAGAGTTGAAAGACCACATCCAGGAGATGGAGATCATGAACGCAATGTGAGACCTCGAGTAGAGTCTCACCTACAACCTGAGTCGGAGAGAGGCTCATCACTTGTGCCATCTCGGAGAGACTCCTTTGTGCCTGATTCTACTCCAAGTGGCTCCGTTTTGGGACCACTATCCTCGCCGTCAGCATCATCTTGGCCATTACGAAGAGAACTTTTGAATGACTTACCACATCAATTGCGAACACATCTTGAAAGAGCTCGTGAGAGAGACTCAGAACGAAGTCCTGAAGAACAACAAGAAGCACGAGCATTGTTTGCATCATTTTTGTCCCAGGAAGTTGAAGTCCCTGAGGACGAAGAGCAAGGTAAGAAAGTGTTGAAATCAATCCACTATGAATCAGCGTCACCTGATGTACAGAAGAACATCATGGATGCCAGAACCAAGGAGTGGAGCAAGTTCCTTGAGTTCGCTGCTGTTGTTGAAATCTCAAAAGAAGATGCTGAGAGGTTGATTGCTGAAGGACATCAATGTATTCCTAGCAAGTGGGTTGATGTTGACAAGAATCAGTTCATGAAAGGAAGATCAGATCAAGAATATGTGCCAAAGTTCAAGAGCCGGTTGGTATCATGCGGCAATTTCGAAGTCAGTGAAGGTTTGAGATCAGACAGTCCTACAGCAGATACGGAAGCTCACAACATTCTTTGCTGTTGGGCGGCGATCCAGGGCGCACAATTGCACAGTGCGGACGTCGCATCCGCATATTTCCAAGGTCGTCCTCTTGATAGAGTTCTCATTATGAGACAACCCCGAGGAGGTCTCCCGGGAGTTGATCCAGAGGTGTTTTTCCTTGTGCGGGTGCCTATATATGGATTGACTGACAGCGGTCGAGGTTTTTGGTTGAGGTTGGACGGAGATGCCCGATCCAGTGGCTTGAAACAATCCAAGTTTTACCCAGGATTGTATTTCCTTCCAGGAACCGACAAAGATTGCGTTGCACTTATGGCGACACATGTGGATGACATCTTGTACGCATACATTCCTGAGGGAAAGTCAGTGATCGACAGCTTCTTGGAGAAGTTCAACTTGGGATCAAGTGAATCAAATTCGTTTCGCTATTGTGGCAAGCAATTTGAGCGTACTGCAGATGGAACAATCACACAAGACACTTGTGACAACACCCGTCGCATCAAGCCGATCAAGATCGCGCCAGGAAGATCAGCGTCCGAGCCGTTGGGTAAGGATGATGTGACCCGATTACGATCTGTAACGGGATCATTGGCATGGGTGGCAAGGCAGACTAGACCCGATTTGGGTTATCGTGTGAGTCGTCTACAGTCCAGCATTGCTGGAGCAACAGTTGCCGTTTTGAGTGACGCAAATGCCGTGGTACAGCTGGCACATCAAGGCATTGATAACAAACTTGTTTTCCCAGGTGGTCATTTAACTTGGGGAGAGATTGGTATCATTACAGTGACAGATGCTTCATTTTCAAATGAGAAGAATTACAAATCACAACAAGGTCGTTTCCATTTCCTTGGAGACATCAATGAGATCAAAGACCCCAAAACTACATCCTACAGGGTGATGCCATTGGGATTTGCATCAAATACAATTCGGCGAGTATGCCGCAGCACTCTTCAATGCGAGGCTTATTCACTGCAGGCTGGACAAGAGAGCGGTGACAAGCTACGTGGAGCATTGGCCGAACTGATGGGCCAACTTGACTCGATGAAAACATGGTTGGATGACAGCCGCAGCTGTATTCCACAACTGATGCTTTCAGACTGCAGGTCTCTAACAGACCATCTTGCGAATGAGGTACTCGGCAGGGTCGCAGACAAACGACTCGGCATTGAGTTGCAGTCGATTCATGAGTCACTTTGGCAAGACGGCCGGAGGACCTGGGATATGCATCATGGCGGAGGAGACATTGTTACCTGGATTGCTACAGGGACTATGGTCTCGGATGCTCTGACCAAGAGCATGCGCCCGGACCTCATTATCCGCGTTTTGAAGGAGTGCATTTACCGTGTACAGAAGAAGCCTTAGAGCCAACTTTTTTCACTAGCATCATGTGATCCTTGAAGAACAGGTTGAGTGTGAGTTTGACCTGTCTAATGTATATTTTGTATAGCCAAGTGATCACATGCCCCGTTGACATTTGGCTTTAGGGCCCTTGAGTCATACCGCGCTGCCGTGGTAAAAGTTGGGCATTTGACGATCCCGTTTCCAATTCATACCATTATTGTTCACTGGTTGGTGGTTTGGAACATTTTCTATTGTCCATAGATTGGGAATAATCAGCCCAAATGACTTTCATATGTTTCAGAGGGGTAGGCTCAACCACCAACCAGTTCATTTGATTCCCATACAAATCACCATTTACAGATGAATGTCCCATTTCCCCAGTGAATACCTATGATCCCACTAGTGTTCCATTAATATCCTAGTATTATTCCCTATTATATAAACCATGATTTTCACTAGACAAATCCCTTGAAACCAAATTCATAGAGACTCTTCATATCCCTGGATGATCCAACTATTCTCCCACTATTCTCTCATTGTTATCCCACTATTATCGCCTATTGAATCATCAAATTCTTCCGACCACCTTTCAATGGACTGGTTTAAGGGAAAATCTACAGGAAACCATTTTCCCATTAAATATGGGGCTTTCCGGTTTCAATTTTCCCTTAAACCAATCCATTGAACCTTGTTCACAAGGCTGGGGAAGACCACGGCGCACGGCTCGAGCCCGTTGCACCTGGCCTCCGCCGGTGGCCACCCGGCGGCCGTGCGGCTTCTGCTGGAGCTGGGCTGCGACCTCAATGGAGGCGACAGCAGCGGCGCCACACCGTGGCGTGGACGAAAAGCCTGGCGGGAAAACATGGGGATGACCCTAAAGTAACTTAACATAACTATGGCCTAATGGTAAACTAAGAGTTTGCTAACTTGAAAATGACACTTTATAATTAATTAGTTGATTTACCCATGAGGTAATTTTAAACACATGGAAATTCAGCATTTGAGTAGGTGAATCATCTATAAGCCGTCCATTTTCCATAGCTATGTTAAACCATTGGTCTGGATAAATTTGATCATGACCTCGCTGTTCTCCCTCGCTGGAAAGATGCTTAGTACATGGGTAACTATGTCAATATAGCCTCATTTCAGGTTGGTGAATGTTAGTGAAATATTTTAATTTACTCAGAACTATTAGTAATAGGGGATTAACCATTAATATCAGTAATATTGACAACCATTCACCTCATAGTTAAGCAATTTTAGATATTAATATTGTGGGTGAAATAGTGATGATATTAATAGGAAGTCTAGTGGAAATAACCAACAACATCGACGACGTTCACGACGACGACCACCACCACAACAACCACAACGACAACACTGACAACCACTTCGACAACCACGACGACAACGACAAGATTCAGCCATGAACAGAGGAATTGTACTGGGCATCATAAGGATATATTATATTTTGTTGATTTTGGGTGCGGTTCTGATATATTCCAAATCAATGATTTCAATCTGTAGTGACTGTTTCGGTGTAATGTGATTTGGGGAAAGACTCTCATCCGCCTATTAATTTAGATACCATAAACATGAGTTTTAGTTGTATTGGATTGGTTCATTTCGGGGGCCCATATGCGGGTCTCTATTTGCTATTACGGGGATTGTATATTGTTATGAGAACCCATTATGACATGATACCAACTATGATGTGAGGAAATTTATTGGAAACGCAAATGCACACCTAACAACCTTTCGACTTCATCCAAAATTTTGAAGCTCTTTTTGATATATCCACATGGGAGCAAATTGGGAGCCATTGCCCATTTTAGACCGACCTATTTAAATACCCAAGCCTGACCATGAATTCTGGTAGCCTAGAATATTCCCAGTTATTCTTAATTGTGACGCATGATCCCATGAATTATACCGACATTTGTTTAAAACTTCTCCATTTGCGTAGCCATATCCCCCACATGTATCCCTAAAATCAGATACCCCCAGAAAACATGGTTTAGTATTGCATCTATTTATTTTGGGGGGCAATATGGTGTAGTGTATGATTCAAACCGCAGGGGGACGAGATTATCATGGATTATAGAACTACTACCAGAAATTGTGTTGCCTCCCCAAGCTTTAAGTTGGTTTATAACCCCCATTGACTATAGAATACCATAAATATATGCATCATATACCTTAGTGATTCGACGTTTACGCCAACTTAGCTAACTATGGGGCAGCACCTTGCAAGTATTGCCAACCCTAGAACAGGGCTACCGAAACATCATTTTGATTTTAATAGGATTTCCCATTATAAAGCCACCAATTCTAGGGTACCCCCATGGCATGGAAAGCCCACATCTAGATCCAGCACTTTTGAGGTTGCACGCTGCCATCGGCCTAAATCGTGTAGAAGTGGTGCAGTTCTTGCTGCAGATGGGGGCCAACACCAATCAGGACCCCTGTTAAAAAACGAATGTTGCTATTATAGGGATAATTTTTGAGTGTGATAACGAAAAGAAGGATATCACCATTATACCACCTGAAATAGTTCCGATATAATTACATTTATTCCACTGATATGCGACAATTCCGGTCAGTTAAAATATTGAATTGGGAATAAGAATGGATAATAGGGATCGAATGGGGATTTTACCGGGTATAGCAAAGGACCTCACTGGAATGATGGTTAGTAGGGGTAGCTATCACCAATTGTTTTTTGTCAGGTTGGTCAAGAACCAAAGAAATATCCAGAGTTATCATGGGGATGGCGACGGTTGAGAATTCGATGAATCCAGTTTCACGGGTCCAATTTTTGCCTCCAGTCGGGATATTCTCAAGTGATTTACTATGTGTTTTTTTTAATGTTTTAGGGAACGTGATAGGAGAATCATCTAGGTAAGGAAAAACATGTATTTATAATATATATATATATGTTGAATGTATAATACTATATATTATTCTATTATTTTATATTATATTATGTTATATTATATTGTATTGTATTGTATTATATACTATTATATTGTATTGTATTATATTATATTATGTTTTATTCTATTCTATCATATTATATTATTTTTAATATATAACATATAATAAGTACTATATAATATCTAAAATATAATATTTAGTATATAGTATTTAATGCATAGTATATAATATATATTAGATTTTATATAATTCATAATATGTACTATCTAATATCTAATATCTATTATATTATATAAAATATATTTATAGTATATAGTATATAATAGAATATTATATATATATATATTATATATTATATAGTATATAGTATAAAATATATAATATATAATATACAATATACAATATATATAGTATTTAATATTTAATCTAATATATAAAATATATTATATATAGTACATAGTATATAATATATAATATCAAATATATAGTATATAGTATAGAATATATATGATATATAATATATGATATATAATATATTATATATTATATATGATATATAATATATATACTATATATATATATATTTATAATTTATATTATTTAGTATATATATATATATTATATATAGAATATATATATATATTTATTTACATAGATGTAGCAGGAAACAATGGTATAGTTTGCTGCCCGCTGCTCGGAATGTTTAATCCACCTGATCAACATGGCCATTTCATGAACCTAAATTGGAGGTACCTACCAAAATATATAAGGCCTAGGGCGATGCAATATCGCTCTATCTGGTCCGGTACCTCGCATCATTTCTTTTTGGTTCACCCGTGAGCTGGTGATCGCTGGTCCCGCTTTGCAGGAAATCGATGGTCCTGCCGGCGGCGATGGTCCCAGTGCTTTGCACATGGCAGCAGCGCTTGGTCATGTTGAAATTCTCCAGTTGCTACTGGACCATGGAGATCCTTTGCTGCAATCGTTCTGACAATAAACCCGCTGTTGGCCTACTTTGGGAGTCCTTTTTTTTGCGTTTCTCCAAGTAGAGGTCATCTTTGGGAAAATCCAGATGTTGACTGTTCAGAAGAATTCTACATAAATTCACCCAAAATCGACCCACTGATTTTGACACATGGGGTTTGTCTGAAAATAGGGCACCCTGAGATTTGATGGCTTATCATAACTGTCCCTATTTCAATGACCATTTTATATCTACCCTCTGGTAAACTATTTCGACTGGGCCGTGTTCAATAGCTATTTTGACATAACCAGAGCGTATACTCCATTTTCAGACACTCCCACATCTCAGGATCCGCTAGAGAAACGCTCCTCCTCCAGTGGTCAAACTCCGCTGCACGCTGCCGCCTTCGCCGGACAACTGGCTGCAGTGCAGTTCCTCGTCGAGGCCAAGGCGGAGCCATGGAGGTGCACTGTGGACGGCCGAACGCCGTGCCTGGAACTGGTCAATCTTTCGTTCCAGGTTTTGGATGTTTGGGACATCCAATATGGGGGTTTCCATAGCTGGGGGATCCCCCAAATTGTTGGTTTGTGATGGAAAAAGGCCTATTCAAATGGATGATTTAGGGGTACCTCCATTTCAGCAAACGAGATTGCCCAGGTCATGATCAGACGTCTATCTTCTTATCCGTTTCCCACTGAGGTTGTGCTTAGCCTCTGAGATGGATTTTGAGGAGGTGGTAAATTTCCTGCAGCCTGGCGGGGTCAAGGGGAAGGCCAAAGCCAAGGCCAAAGCAAAGGCCAAAGCCAAGGCCAAGGCCAAAGCAAAGGCCAATGCCAAAGCCAAGGCCAAGGCCAAAGCCAAGGCCAAGGCCAAAGCCAAGGCAAAAGTCAAGGCAAAAGTCAAGGCAGAAGTCAAAACGAAGACGAAAGCTGAGGTAAGACCCAAGGCCAAGGCCAAAGTGGCAGGTAAACTACAGAGGCATGGCTAGATGCTGCCAAGGACAGAGCTCGCCGCTCGCCAGTGGAAAAAAATGAGAACAGTAGGGGATTCGCAGTGCAATTCACATGGGCATACACGTGTCCAACACTCAAGATTCCCCTTTCATTCTCTTTCCCTCCATGATGGTCGACAGCTTGATGGGAGTGATCCAGATTTATGTATATAAACTATGCTTATTTTGAATTGCAGTTGTACACCCCGTTTTTCGGGGTTTATCATCTAGGACTTTCACCCTTAAGGATGGCGGTTTGAAGGAAGAACTGGTGTTTTTCAACCACCAAACGCGGGGGTTCCACAACACAGGGAGTACATAGCATATCACTGATCAACAATGTATATTAATATATAATCTGCTTGTTGGTTTCAAACATTACTTTTATTTTCCACATTTTTCCACTTCATATATGGGATGTCATCCCAACCAACATTAACGAACTCCATCATTTTTCAAGATGGCTGAAACCAAAAGCAGTCATAGCCACGTTCAAATCACTAAGATCGTTGGCCTTCAGAATTCCATCAGTGATGGGCCAGTGATGGGGTGTCAGAAACTCACATGGGGATAACCAGCAAAAAATACCAAAGAAAAATGCATTTCACCCGAAAAAGGAAACTGCAGCATCGAGATTCTATGACCCACAGCATGCGTCGAAGCTTTGACCCATATCCATGTAGGATCCATGCGGCTTGTGGGACCGCTTTCCAAGAGGGACGGGGTTAGAGAAATCACTTAAAAACAGGAATGGGCGTTGAGGCCATAAAGAAAAATCCGAGACACTGCATCTGGGTATGCAATGTACCAGTTCCGTTTGTAGAAAGCTACGAATATGCTGGGTGGATCTGGGTCCACAGAGACGGCCCCGGAGTTATGCGAGGTTTCGCTAAATCTGCAGTATCCGAAAAGCTGGACTTGTTCCCCATTGGACTTGACCAAAGACCTGGCTGATAAAATGAATTTCCCCTATGATATTGGAACCCCCCCGTCTTGGTTCTGGAGTGATGTGCGTGCAGAATCTGTTGCAGGTGGCCTTGATTTTGAAAGTCCAGTCTCGCCATGCTCCAGCAAATCTGGATCTGAGGCGAATTTTTTATTTCACCCAATTTGATTGATTCTACAAAGAATAGAGGAAAAAAAAACAATATATTGAACGGGGACCCAATTCAACTTAATTTATTGTTGATACCAATCAAATATCATAAGGTGGTTACCAACATTTTCAAAAAAATCAAAACCAAAAGGATAAATTAATTAATACAAATCATGAATAACAAAACAAATCCACAAATAAATCAAAAGGTGGTTCGGGGGGGCCAGGGGTGGCACCCATAACATGTGCATTGTTACTGTTGAGCTAAGGTGCTGGATTTTTTTACCCTATTATTGCGGCTAGCTTCTATATAATGTAAATAAAACATTAAACAAATTATCCTCTGATAATTTAATATAGCTATTGAAAATATTCATTTATAATTAATATTTCTTATAAAAATTGTAATTTTCTATAGCTA